ATTCAATCATACAAATATCTTCTGTCTGATCATACGTTTCATTTAATTAATAAATAATTTGCAAATTACTGAGAAAATGTAGAATTTTATATTTTCTCATTAGAAACGAGGTATTTCTCATGAAGCAAAGAAATTATAGCAGAGTTGCGTCAATATGTAGTAATAGATAAGATTTATGCTAGGGAGATTGACAAAGGCCAGGTCTCAGAGGTCTACACGATTAACAGAAGCCCATTAATTATCATGACGTGTGTCTCAGATTTGCGACACAAGCTAAATAGCTAAGGGTATTAAATATCCTCGAAATACACTCCCACTCTAAATATCTTAGGACGCGTTTTATTTTTAATACTGGATTCACTGTCGATATTTTTTGTTTAGTACTCCAGTATTTTAACATCAATATTTTTTCTACGTAAAATGCAAAAAAAAAAAAAAAAAGAGACGAGGAGCAGCAGACAATTTGAAAACAAAAACATTCAAGAATATTCGAAAGTGGAAGAGAAAGTATTTTCAATTGTAAAAAGTAAAAAAGGTATTTCAAATCTGGGGATAAAGCTAGGGAGCTTAGAAGATATTTTCCAAATAAGAAACTCTGAAATGCTATGCTTCTCGTCAGCAGTACGAAGATTAGGGGAACGGTTTTCAACAACTGGAAAATTGAGAAGAAAATCCTCCAGCGATAGATAATTGAGAGGAACATTCCCCCAGTAATAGAAAAATTTTTCTGATACTAGGAAGATTATTTCCCAAAATTCCCAAAGTAATGGGAAAACAATAAATATTGCGAGCAATATTTACATTGGGTTTCCTATCATTTGCTCGGGGATGACAAAAAAATTTAATACCACAAGAACGGAGTAAATTTTATAAACCGTATTTGCATTTTGCATGCCTTTCAATAGCTACCCGGTGTTTTATTCTAAAACAAAACCTGGTATTTGCATACATCCGGCAAATTTTATTCCCCTGTGAGCCAAACAATTTTTTCCAAAAATTTTTTCCGTCATCCTCCTGTCGATCGTATAAGAAAATCCAATTAAATTCGACTTAGCCTCGTGCAAATTGTTTTTTCTTTTCTTCTTGCCAAATCACATTAGCTACCTATCTAACAAGAATCTAACATTATATGCAAGTAATTTTAATACTTGTATCCCTAAACATCCATGCCTGTTTCATTCGTGAGCACTGTTATCCTCCAATTACAAACGATCTCGTTATACACAGCGTGTGTATGCATTGAAAGATATCTTATTTCCTTCAGATCAGGCGTGTATTTACGTTTGACCACAGAGTTCTCGGATTTAATGAGCATCGACCAATTAGGGGAGTGAAAGGGACGTTATTAAACGGCTGTCGATCAAACGACGATAATAGGACGCAGGTTCTACCACTGCTTATATATTCTGCAGCATTATTAATCGTAGACGCGTATAACCGACTGCCAATTGCAGTGGATACAGGCCTTTTCCCTCGCGACGATACCTAACTTTGACAGGGTGAATTGAAACAGGGGGTGGCATAATCGCGATAGGGTTAGAACATCGGTCGAAACTACTCGGTTCGGGGAGGGGGGCGTGTAGAACGAAGCCGATATCTCTCTAGGGTAGACTGTCCTCCATATTTGAACGCTAGAATTATCTGAATTAACTGTAATATTCCATAGACATTTCGGTGGGCATTAATTGAAACGACTAGTTGCGTGCAGTTGCGTCCCTGCATTCCACGTAAGTGGAGATCGATATTACAATTTTTAACGAGTTGAAAGAGAGGAAGATTAAAATTACGATCTACCTCGGACGAGTGTAATTCCTCCCGAAGAAACTGATTTCAAAATTTATCTTGATGATAAAAGTCAGTCGATAAAAGTTCTCGAAAAAAATCGAAAGAAGACGGAGAACCGTGAAATGCTGTATACGAGGAGCAAATAAATAAATTTCACACATTAATTTTCCAATCAGAAAGATCGGTATAAACGCCTTGACCAATATATATTCTCGTCCGTGAATTTTTAACTTCGTCAATTCGAACTGTTCTCCGATCGACGTTCAAGTTAACTTAACACGTTCCGTGCCAAGCCATTTTTGCCTTTTGTTGTCGTTCAGGCGATTTTGACATTATCAATCGATAAGTAGT